ATAACTCTTTAGAACTATATAAATTATTGTTTCAAAAGAATCACTTTGTTAAAGCAAAACTTATTCTAATTCTTACTGTTCAGAAAATTTACCCAAATCCGTTATAAATTTACAAGTAGTAGTATCGTATTGAAAAGTACAATTGTTCTCTTTAAACTCTGATCGTGACCAACTGAAGTTGACTACGTAGGAACTATCATGATCTTTAAACAAAACGTAACTAATAGTTTTCAACTTTGGATCTTGTAGAACGTTTAAATAGTCATAATTGACTAATTGCTTTGATTGTAATTCACCATCTTCACCCTGAAAAAACAAGAATATTTTTGTTGCATAGGACTATAGCAGAAAGAAGGTTCATTCTCAAAGAGATAAACAAAGATATTTTCTGGAAAAGCATTAATAGAAACTTGTTTTGTGCCTATTGAATATCTATTAAAACCAAAACATTTTTTAATAAAAACTATAAGCGCATCTTGATAAAATACAACTTGCTCAAGGAGAGGTTGATTAAGTAGCTTACGATGAGGTATAGTTTTGTTAATTCTATGTTTAATTCTTTCATAAGCTATAAGCTCTTTTCGAGAAGGAAAAATTGCTTGACAAAGTTGACATTTACTAACCATTAAAGTACCGTACTAATGCTAATTTTTGTGATTCTTGTAAGCAAAAAATTTTATTGGTCAATCATTTTTAAATATCACAAATTCCCAGATATTACATTTCTAACTTAGATGATATAATCGAATAGAAACAAATCTGCCATATGTAAAATTAAGGTTAGTTTGGATACACTTATCAGGCTTTACTTATTTGTGCCAGTAATACAAACTCCTAAAAAGGAAATTGCCAATAAACAACATTAAAGATTCTATTAATAAATTTGAAAACTTTTTAAAACTTCTAGCGATGATTTCTCAATAACTACTTGATCAAATTCTGTAATTTTTTTTTATTTTAATTCAGTAGTTCTGTAGAATCAAAATAAAAAAATGTTTGTGGAATTTGACTTAGTAGCTGTTGAGAAATCATTGCTAAAAGTTTTAAAAATACATAAAATATCTTGAAAAAAAAATCAAAATCAGGTAAATTTACTTTTCTTTGAACTTTAAACGAAGATTTCTCAACAACCAACTATTCAAATTTGATGAATTTTTTTTTTATTTTAATTCTAGTGGTTCATAGAATTAAAATAAAAAAATTTAGATCGAATTTGAATAGCTGGTGGTCAAGAAATATTTATTAAAAGTTAAAAAAATTTTGACTGCAGCTTTTTTTTTAAAGATATCTAAACTTTGAATGAAGATTACTTGGCACCTACCTGATCAAATTTGATCAAATTTTTTTATTTTAATTTCATGATTATATATAATTAAAATAAAAAAAATTGATTGAATTTGACCAGGTAAGTGCCGAGTAATCTTCGTTCAAAGTTTAGACGCTTATAAAAAAAAAGCTGTAGTCAAATTTTTTTTAAATTTTAATAAATATTTCTCAACAACCAGCTATTCAAATGTGATTAATTTTTTTTTATTTTAATTCTACGAGATTATAGAATTAAAATAAAAAAATTTTCATCAAATTCGGATAGTTGGTTG